CGCAGTCCGGTACTCCCCTGATACTCTGCGTGGCTAAGTAATGTCACTCTAGTAAGAAGTCGGCAGCGAAGTTGAAGATCACGAGGATGTTGTGTTCTCATGGCAAGGGGAAAATTTTACCGAAGCTCTTTGGATCCCAATGTAATGTGATGACAAAACAAAAATAACTTACTCCAAATAGAGTTTAAAATAGCCTGCTTATAAAACACCCACGACATAATTACGCAAAATTAAAAAAAATATAATTAGAATCAAGATCGTTTTAATAAAATTATTAATTTTCAATTAACATTCCATGAACTAAACCATTAAACTAAAAACACCCGACCGGGGATCGAAGGAAGGAAACAGTCGTACTCATCGATGTTCATTGAACTTTAAAAAAGTGCACATAATACCTTTAGTAAATAGTAAATAAACTGAGCTATGTAAATAAACGATACTACTTAAACTATTAGGACAAATATAATTAGTAAATACTACTTATATATATGTGTAATACATATACAAGTAGTAGGGGCTCACATATTTGATATATTGATAAAAACACAAGAAACTCGTTCAGATATACACATGTATCTTTTTAAGAACTTCGAGTACCTAGTTCTAGTCAGTCTATATCTACATAATATATCTATATCTATATACTATAGTAAAACTAACACGACGATTTCTGTACATCGAATTTTTTTTTTTTATTTAAATTGGGTATACTATGTTATCGATACAAATGCCAAAACAATATTATTTGGAAACGTCTGTCTATCTGTCTACATACGCATCACGCGAAAACCTGTGAATGTATCGTGAATCGTCACGCTGTCTATCATAGCAGCTGAGCAGTAGACATAATCTTCCCTTTTGCAGCTACATAAAGTTTTTTAGCAGTTGTTGTACATTGTCGTGAAATTGAAAAATTACATTATCAGATTTTGAGTTCTTATATTATTCCTAGCCGTTATTTGCTAATCATGTTTTTTATTTAGGTGTAATAATCAGTTAATTACTTTAATTTTACTAAGATGGCGTTATAGCTATTTTAAAGCACGGACTGGTTTTATTATATGCAAGTTATGATATACTCGTAAAACACCTATGTAATAGTTGGTGCCTTCAACGCTATGGTCTCATTAGAGCGGGAAATGTAATTGTCCTACTTTTATCTGACAAAGCTGATACAAAGAAGGTGTTCGTTTTTTGCTGTTCATGTTTATATTACTCATTATTACTCATAGGCGATATAGCTCATTAATTCATATACCAATGTTAACTTTTTAAATATATTGACTCTACTAAACTAAAGCCTGTAAAGACTAAAGTAAATTCGTTGTGATATATGTACAGTTTGTTTAACAGCGCATATCTGTTAAAAGAACAAAAAGAGTAAAGACTTCAATTAAAAAATAAATTAACAACACGGCCCACGGCTGGGTATAGACATTTTCATATTTCTGCCAGTAGCTGGCCGACTTCATGGAGAAAGAGGGACTCTTTATGATGAACTCTTTCTTCCAGAAACGGCCCCACAGGAAGTGGACCTGGTCGAGCCCCGACGATTCGACAAAAATTGAGATTGACTTCATTATGACGACTAGACGGCGACTGTTCAGTGATGTCTCAGTGATCACGAGGGTGAAAACTGGTAGCGATCACCGAAGGGGTAGAGGCACACTGAACCTGTATATTAAGTTGGAGAGGAGTCGTCTAATGAATTCAACACTCCGTCCCCCTCGTGCTCTAATCCAAAGTCCCGAAACCTTTCAGCTCGAGTTACAAAACCATTTTCAGTGCCTAAAAGATTGCAATGCAGTGAACGATATGAATGACAAGCTCGTGGAACTGTACATGCGGTTGGAGCTAAGTTTTGCAAGACCCGCCGCAGAAGAACACAAAATCTCTCCGATCACACTCTTAATCTTATGGCTGTTAGACGGGAAATGAAGCTTCATCTTCAGTAGATTTGATAGCATACAGGCAACTGAACAGACAGATCTCCAAATGCATGCAGCTGGACTTATGCGACTTTAATACTGCTCGTATTGAAGAAGCGATCGAGTGGAACTAGGGCTCCAAAGTCTTTGCTAGAGATCTGTCTTTCTGTCTCGATACTGAATACCGAGTGTGGTAGGGTCGTTTCCGGGATACCTGAGATTTTGAGTGAGATTGAGAGGTTCTATGAGCAGCTGTACACATCATCGTTGAAACCACACGCAAGTGTGAGTAACGATCCAAGAGCGAGTCTTATCTGACACTATTCCGAAGATATCCTGGACGTCAGTCTGAGCGAGATTAGAATTACTCTCCAGCACCTTATAAACGGCAAGGCCCCAGGCGAGGTTAGAATTACAGCGGAGCTACTGAAAGCGGGTGGAAAACCGGTACGTGTAATCCTTCAGAAACTCTTTAATTCCGTCCTCCATGGTGGCACTACACCGGAGGCGTGGAGCAGAAGTGCGGTGGTCTTGTTCTTTAAGAAAGGCGACAATACTCTCTTGAATAACTACAGACCGATTTCCCTTCTGAGCCGCGTCTACGTGCTGTTTTCGAGAGTCATTACGAATCGTCTCGCATGCAGACTCAACAACTTCCTGCCTCCCGAATAAGCCGGTTTCCGAAAAGCTTTAGCACCATAGACCACATACATACCCTTCGACAAATTGTACGGAACTTCGAGGAGTACAATTTGCCACTATATCTGGCGTATGTGGACTATGAGAAAGTCTTTGATTCCATCGAAATTTGGGCGGTGCTACAGTCCCTCCCGCGGTGCCAAGTTGACTGTCGGTATACTGAAGTGTTGAAGTGTTTGTACAGTAGGGCTACGATGGCTATTCGAGTAGAGAACCAGAGTACGAAACCTATCCAACTGCAGAGAGGTGTAAGACAGGGTGACTTTATGTCCCCGAAACTCTTCAGTGCTGCATTGGAAGACGTTATCAAACTACTGGACTGGAAAGGATACGGTATTAACATCAACGGCGAGTACATCACTCACCTTTGATTTGCCGACAATATAGTCCTTATGGCAGAATCGCTGGAGGACCTAAGCACTATGCTCAATGACCTCAATAGTGTCTCCCAATGGATAGATCTTATGATGAACATGGACAAAACGAAGGTCATGTATAATGTTCATGTCACCTATGCCGATAGTTGCTGGGATCACTAAGCTCGAAGTTGTTGACGAGTATGTTTACCTGGGACAAATAGTCCGACTAGGTAAGTCCAATTTCGACCGAGAGGTCAATCGACGGGTTCAACTCGGCTGGGCAGCGTTCGGCAAATTACGGCACATCTTCTCGTCAAATGTACCTCAAAACTTGAAAATGATACAACCAGTGCGTGTTGCACTGGCGACACGCACTGGTTGTACTAGAACCACGTCTCAGTTCCATAGGTCATCACTGGATGAACTATGGAACTGAGACGTGGTTCTTCACTGCTGGCCGTATGAGGAAACTCAAGGTCGCTCAGCGAGCTATGGAGAAGTTTTTCTGCGTGATAAACTTAGAAATGAGAATACCCGCAGTAGAACCAGAGCGACCGACATAGCCGTAGTAATATTGGCTAACTCCTCTCTACAAAAAAGGGATTTGATTTTTTTTTTAAATAATATATTGATTGTATTTTGCGATTTCGTAAACTGAATACTAAAGAAAAATATAAGTATTTATTAATAAATTACCTTTGTGGCTAAATAACGATCATCGGGAGCTTCGTTCAAAAACCTTTCCACTTCATTCGATGTTAGTATTTTGACTTTTTAGTTCTAAAACCATCTGATTGTTGTTTTAAGAAAGCATTTAGTTTTTGGGTATTCACTTATATCCACGTTGTACCTTATTTTCAGCACACTTTTTATCATCGAAAACCTCAACCATAACGTAGAAGGTTTTAATATTGCTGAGAGTTCGGAGAAGTATGCCAATAACATAACATATAACATTTTCTGAAAAACTATTTGCTTTTTTCTCTTCTCTCCACGCAATAAATTTGTCGTATGTAGATATGTAGCGACTTTTTGACTTTTCCGGTAAAATGTTCTTCGAAGCATTTTGTGCAATTATACTGAGTTCCGGTGGTCATTCAAATAAAATATCGTCGAAATTACTCAATTTGTGCAACAAACAACTAAACTCGCAAAGAACATTTTTGGAAAATTGCGCCAACCGTAAAAGAATATAAGCAGAGATTCTTTTGTATTAAATGAAAATTAGTACCCCTATTTTTGGATTAAAATATTGATTTGTTTTTTCACAGTTACTAAGTCACTTAGCGGTCAGCCACCGCGGTGTCTAGATCACCTGAAGATGCCTCGTGTAGAGGCTAAACACGTGTCGTATTGTCGTCAGTGGTGTGTCTTTCTTAGTGTAGCAGTGTTGGTAGTAGTGGTGCTGGGATAGCGGTGACGGGGATAGTGCACGCATTTGAGGGAGGGCGGGAGGTGCTCTTTAAACTAGGTAAGATACATCATTTTATTTTATCTAGCGGATGTACGCAAAGTAATTTTTTACTAACTTTAATATAATGAACTTCCTCAAAGTAACGCCTAATTCTATTAATTATTTTTAATTATCTTCTAATTATCATATTAAAAATACTCATTCCACGCGAACGAAGTCGCGGCCAGTCGCGGCACATCTAGTTGATTAAAAGCGCTTCCCTGTGTTCCTCAACTGGAATTCACCTTTGAAATAGTTGATTAATTGTCCATTATAGTATTTTATTTTATAAGGCCGCAATAATCCGTTTAAGGATTAATGAAAATTAAAATTAATTTATCTAAATGAACCATCTCACGTTATTTACCTGTAACTTACCAAAACAATGTTTTATTTATATCATTCATAATATGAAGGTAATGCGATGAAAAGATACATACCGTTTATTTCCTACGTCGAAGTGCTTAGTCATAGGTAGAAGTGCTTCTGATCTTAAAGCAGTATAAATAGGGCTTCTTGAACAGCTACCATCATCATTCTTGAAGGAAACTTGCCAACATGAATACTGTAAGTCAACATACTCTCATTATTTTTTACATTATATTTATAGTTATATACTTTCTGCTAAATATATACTTAACATAATAAAACTATAATCTAAAATAAAATAAAATATTTTTTTAAGTTTTTAAAAACGAACAAAAACATTTTACTAACCAAATGTTAAAAACTGTTGATTTTTTAAAAGGCTGCTAAACGAACACAAAGTCCATCTCGGGGTAAGAGGATACTGTGGCCCATAGACATACATTTATTATCATTTTTTAATATTATTCTAAGCTAGCGCTTAACCACAATCCCACCTGATAATAAGTAAGATGGTGAAGCGCACTGATTTAGCAAAAGCCTATGCACTCTTGCCTTGAAGACACCCACTTGTAATCAGATGAAAAGACAGATGCTGGCATTGAGGTAATATATTACTAGTTACGTAGTAACATATTACCTCAATGGATGCTGGCAACTTATTCTAGTCCTTTTCTGTACACATGTTGAACGATGTAGCAAACCGATTGGTTCGAATGTTTTTTTTTTATAGAACAAGGGTGACAAACTAGCACAAAGTCCACCATCAGGTGGACTGTGTGCTCGTTTGTCGCTAACCATCAGGTAAGTGGATGCTGTAGACATAGACATCTACATCTATCCTCGATTACGAATGAAAATGCAAATGAGTTGCAAGGGCTAAGATGAAAGCCTCGTTGCCAGTAAAAAGGGTCTCCGGTTCTCTACACTCACCATACGAAACACAGCAGCGTTGAACTGCTATTTTACGCTGTTATTCTGTGAGAGCGTGGTCCTTCCCCGGTAGAGCCGACCCATTCGTTCCACAACCATAATATAACTACAGTATGGCTCTACCACGTGGGAAGTCAACAACAAAAGGGTAGAGACTAGCCGAACGTCTGTTTGTCCGATGGTAGAAGGGAGAGGGAGGAATTAAATTATGCAATTCCTGCGCACACTCTCCGAAATGTAGAGAACTGAAAGGCTGGCTATTTTGCGACTATGCTCGAGGCTAGTAAGATTAGTTTTAATCAAATTCGGGTCACCAATAAGCCTCTTAAATCCAAAGCTACTAGGTGGCATTTTGCAGCACCTCCCAGTGACAACGCACCTTCAATAAATTTTTATTGAAGGTGAATTGTCACCCCTTGACGACTAAGACGGAATGCCTCATTACCACTAAAAAGGGTACCCGATTCTCGTCACTCGCCATACAAAATATAGCAATATACCAAAAATAGCAATATATTGCTGATATTTTATGCAAGTGTGTTCCTTCCCTGGTTAAACCAGCTTATTCGTGCTGCACGCATAATACGGCGTAGCGTGGCTCAAACTTTAAAATGATAATGTTGTTAAATACTTAACATATTCAGCGTTAACATTTTTAGATATTCATAAAGCTATTTTACTTCCAGATCCTGTGTTTTGCTCTTTTGGTGTGTGTATGCTTGGCATATGCATTGGCGCTACCGTACCCGGATGAAATAATGGCTCAAACAGAAGGCCTACAAGCGGAAGAATCTAGACATGGAAGTTGGGGCGGAAATAATTGGGGACGCGGTGGAGGTGGCTGGGGATACGGCGGTGGCTATGGACGAGGAGGTGGCTGGGGCCACGGTGGTGGTTGGGGACACGGTGGCGGTTGGGGACACGGTGGCGGTTGGGGACAACATGGATGGGGACGCGGCTGAATAACAAAACTGCCCGGTGAATTTGAAACATTTTTGTCATTAAAAATTTTATTAATTTTTATTTGTCATTTTTGTTTCTATGATTTTTATTTGATTAAACACTAATATCAAATAATTATATATTTGCTTTCATTACTCCTATCTCATTAAGCGTAAAGTATTATTTAGTGTGGTAAAAGCATCTACTTCACAGACAAAGGGAAATAAAGCGAAATAGATAACAGCATCTTCACCAATCCACGTGTCAAGCGTTACCTAGAGCAAACATTATATTTACACCGTCATATTTAGCAGATAGATTAACGGCCAGTACGCTTCCTTGAACGCTGCTATTTAACAAATATGGTTAAATTTAACAAATGATATTGAAGTCATTGGCATTGATTAAACCAATTATTTTATGTAAAATTAAGGAATATTTAAAAGTAAATTACATATTTAAAAACTTAATTTGTTCCGAATACATACGAGATAAATTTGCCTTGTTTGAGATTTCTGCCTATTTTGAGTTTACGATTTACGACCTTCAAAAGCATGCCGCGAGATTTACCAAACTTCAATACAGCTCGTGTTGAAGTAGTGATTGGGCGAAACCAAAACTCCGAAAACCTTTACTACCGATCTGACTGCGGCAGCGTTATTTTCGGGGACCTGTGATTTTGAGTGAGATTGAGAGGTTCTACGGACAGCTGCACACATCGGCGTTGTAGTCACACGTAAGTATGCGTAACTATCTAAGGCAAGTTTCATCCGACAATTTTGCCATGATATCCCAAGCGAGATTAGAATGGCTCTCCAACGCCTAAAATACGAAAGCCCAGGGCAAGGATAAAATAACAGTGGAGCTTCTGAAAGCAAGTAAAAAACCGGTACTTAGTTCTTCAGAATCTTGTCAATTCCGTCTAGTGGCATTACTCCAGAGACATAGTCTTGTACTTTAAGAAACACGAAAACTCTTTATTGAATAACTATAGACCGATTTACTTTCTGAGCGCCTACATGCTTTTTTCAAAAGTCATTGCGAATCGGCCCATACGCAGACTTGATAATTTCAAGATTCCCGAACAAGCTTGTCTCTGAAGAGGCTTAAATATACTAACATCGGATAGAAGAAAATCCTAGTGTGGAGGTAATGTTTTAAAAAAAAACATTGTAAATGTAATATAATTTAATATTCAAGGTATAGACAAAAAGGGTATGATGTGTGGCCGGCAGAATGTATGATTCGTCATTACACACACAGTCTTGTTTGCAAATGCTTACTGGTATGTAAAATGCCAAAGGCAAACTTTTTGCCTAAATTAATAAATTTATATACGCGTCTACGGCTTACCACAATTTTCCTTTCGTGGTTTTGAGTTTTGACAAAGTCAACAGGATGGTCACTATTACACTACTATTAACAAAGTATATGTACAGTACGAGTATGTGCAGGTATATTATTTTAACACCAACAGTTGCGACTAAAATTAATAAACATTCGTTATTGTTTTAGCGTTCTGTACATTATACATTCTATTGTAGGTATTACGGTAAATACTGGTAGAAAAGTTAATTACCTGCATACATCATATGTATGTAACTAGTATGCGTGTTATTACTATGTATGTTATTGCTCATGAATATATAGGAATTACCTCACATAATGTTTCTATGCTACACAACTACGACATAACTAAAAGTTTATTCAAACACTATTTCACATTTCCCACATAAATACCAAAGTGTAATTTCCATAAAGGATTAAATTTCGCTAATTGTATAATAATAGTTATAATAATAATTTATATTGTTTTATGGAAGGAAAATAGTAAAAATTAAGCAATGATAATTTATTCAATACTATATACGGAAATAATAAATGATTTTTAGTGTGACTTTTTGTTTGTGAGGTTTTGTTTTTTAAATTATAGTCGTGTGTGTATCGCCCACCTAATTTACGCCGACGCAATCCGATACTCCCCTGAGACTGCTTGACCGTGTGACGTCAGCCTGGTGAGGGGTCGCTAACGAAATTGAATGTCACGAGTATGTACCGTGGGTCTCGCGGCAGGTGGAAAATTTTACTGAAGTTCGGTAGGATAGTAGTTCAATCGATAGGACCTCAATATGAAGTGACAACTAAATAAAAATAACTTACTCCGAAAAAAGTTTAAAATAGCCTGCTTATGAAAGGCGTACAGGTACAGCATGATTAGCGTACGTACAAACATGACCCGAGCAATGCGCAAAATTAAAAAATAATAATGGAAATCAAGATCATTACATACCTAAAAGCAATTGACATAAATAAAACTAAATCGCCGAGGATCAAAAGAAGGAAACGGTCAAGCGCATCGATGTTCATTGAAATTTAAAAAAATATATAGTAATAAAACGATGCTTTACTTTAAAATTAAAAGTATTAGGATAAATGTAGCTTACGTTACAAAGTTCACAAGAAACAAGTTGGCTTCGTGATTTTACAGCACACTAACGAATACTAAATAAATGTGTGCAATCACATTTTTGATATTGATAAAAACACAAAAAACTCCTTCAGGTATACAGATCTAATATCTTTTTTTAAGAACTTATTTCTTTTTAACCACTTTGTCCTCCGTAGAGTGTAAGTGTTTTCAAGTGCTCCTCGACTGACATTCTCGTTTAAAATAATTGATTAATTATCCGTTTCTTAATAGTTATCCTCTCATGTGATTTATGTTTTTACGCTTCAAGTGTCAGGGTCTGTTTTGGAGATCGCGCGATACCGGTAGGCGCTAATGTAAACAATGGTATCTTTTTACTTTTGTATGCCAGCTATATATAAAACTTATACGCATCGACTCGTTACGAATTAAGATATTTGATTCTTCTTTATAAATATTAAATTCTATTTTTATAATATTATTAATCTCATTTCAAAATTGCGTGACGTAACTTTGCCGGTTTCTTGTACATAAAGTGTAAGGATTATGAAATTAAGCCATTATGTAAAACGGTATTTGTTTTATTTGCTTAACAATACAATTATACAATACATTATATCAAAATGGATTAAAAAAATCACACCCCATCAATATATTTATAAGACGTAAGGTATATTGTTTTTAGGGTTGACTAAAATAAACTATATTGTGTTGCTCTGTAAACAAAGTTTTATATTTCATTAATTTTAAGTTCCATTACGAAACTACACTATTACAATAATAACTAAAAACAAACCTGTAAACAAAGAAACGACATTTAAAGTTTATTCCTTAATATGTCAATTCCCTTTGTAACAATTCTGTTATTAATAAACTTAAATTATAATTTTCTACAGGCAGCTTATCATTGTCAACAGTCAATACAGTCAATATGTTATTTCACAGATTCTATCTACACTACACAAATATAGATAAAACCACAGATAAAACACACAGACAAAATATTAAAGAAATACATTTTCTTTACATCTCCCCCCCTCGGGAAAGAACATTTACAACAAAATGTTCACGTAACGTTCTCATCTTCTGTTTCTTCTTCGTCAAATGAACGGACTGGAATAATTTTTGTGATGTGGAAAAGATTTGATTCAGTTTTTTTGTGACCAGTTTCAATTCTGTATATTGAGTTTGAAATTTTTTCAACTATCTCATAAGGTCCAATTCTCAGTTCATCTAATTTTTTTCTGTTTATTTTGTTTCCATTTTCCACATACACCATGTCTCCTACATTAAATTCATAGTATTTTCGATTTTTGTCGAATAGTGTTTTGTTGTAGTTATGTGATTTCATAGTATTTTCAAGTGCAGATTTTCTGTCTCTGATCCAGTCCTTATTTGATATTTCTTGTTTTAATTCATTTGGTAAAATTGTAACATCCTTACCATACAAAAGATAACTCGGTGTAAAGCCAGTGACTGAGTGAATAGTATCATTATATTTATTTACACATTCTTGAGCTATTGTTGTCCAGGCTCTTTTTTTTCCTTCTCCATTTATTTTACATCTGGTTTTGTTCACTAATGTTTGATTCAATCTCTCATTGAGGCCATTTGAGAATGGTGCATTTACTGCTGTGAAGACCAAAGGTATCCGTTTGTCATTTAAGAATTTCTTAAAATCTTTTGAATTGATTCCCGGGTATTGGTCGGTGAGAATTATACCAATGTCCTCCGTTTCTATTATGTTTGTAATTAGTTTTATAAAATCATTTGCACTCTGAGTTTTTGAGGTTGAAATAAATGCATATCTTGTAAAATGGTCTACTAACAGATGTAAATATTTTTTTGTCGATCTTGAACCTCCAAAACCTCCAATTGTATCTATAGAGACTATTTCGAAAGGCTTTGTAGCTGGACCTAGATGAGACATCAAGCCAAATCGGTCATGTCCTCTTGATTTATTTTTAATACAAATTTCACAGCTTGTACAAATTTTTTTGATGTTTTTTATCAAATTTTTGGCTGTGTATAGCGGACTAACAGTCTTTTGCATTTGTCCGATTCCAATATGGCATAGGTTTTCATGTATATTTTTTAAGAGTTTTATACTTAACTCTTCTGATAGGATTATTTTTTCTTTTTTCCTTATCTTTTTGTAGAATATACTCTGTTTTTCAATCAATTTGTTTTTGTTATTTTGTATTTCTTCATTTTTATTTTGATCTTTAACAATATCTTCCAGTTTAATTAAGTTCACAATTTTTAATTGTTCATCTGTGTTGTCATTTGATTCTAATACTGGATTTCTGCTTAGACAGTCTGCTTCCAAATTTTCTTTTCCTGGATTATATTTTATTTTGAATTCATACTGTGAGAGATAATATATTAAATCACCCAGCTCTTCATCGGTTCTAGATTTCAGATTCATGTTTTCCAATGGTTTGTGGTCTGAATAAACTGTAAATGATTTACCTATCAACCAGTATTGCCAGTATCTCACTGCTTCTTTGATAGCTAAACATTCTAAGTATATAGCTTTTTTCTTCTTTTGTGCTTCATTTAACTTTTTTGAAAAGTAAGCCACTGGTTTTT